GCTGGGGGATTTTCTTCAAAATCTAAAACTTCATCAATGTCGTCATTATCATCGTCAGCTGTTTTGTCGTCATCAGCAGCGATGACGTCATCCACATCATCGCCATCGTCATCAAAAAATCAATTTTCTAGCCACGGAGCAAACGCGTTATCAGCTTCCTCTGTTCCATCAACATTGCCAACTCCATTGCTACTTGCCGACTCGGCAACAACTGCCGACATGACACCGTTCAGCGATTCCTTCTCATCTCTCATGTTCTCGTTAGCGATGGGATCATCATATCCGACTGATTTGACAAATAGTTCGATATTTTCGCAGTTTCCCATGACAAGCGCTCCGACAAGCCTACTCAATACCGGTTCTCCAAACCTCTCTGCCATCACTAATCTCATGTTTATGAATCCTTTCAGCTCTCCCATGTCTTTGTTGAAAAACTTTCCATTCCTTTTTAATTCCAATCCAACGTCAGCGTCATCAACTACGTCATCGCTGAACACTTTAACGGAACTGCAAAAGTTCAACTTCACGAACACTCCACTCAATGACTTTTACAAAGAGGGATCTGCCGACCAATCAGCTTCGTGCAGTTTGTGTCGCAAGGACTTTTGCAACAGTTACTTTCTGAAAATACACAAGAGGGACAAACACGGCATACCAATCGAAGATGTCGTCGGCTCGTCGGCTTCCCTATCTAAGAAATCATTCGCAAGCAGTTCAAATAGTTCACTGAAAGATGGCTTATATAATTTGGACGTAATAGAGCCTGGCGAGAACATAAGCACATTCAACAAGATAAACAACGACACGTTATCAACTGATAATAAAAATGTTTCTTTCACATCAGCGGCATCGTCTGGGCAATCGACAGCGCTACCACCATCACTGCAAGACTGCAAAGTGACATCTTGCGAGGAAACGTGCGTGTTTTGTAAGCAGATGTTCAACAATCGTTACAGTTTGATGGTGCACCTGTTGAGTGCCCACAACATCAAACCTGAGGGCTTCGGACTGGCTAGCGAGTTGATGCAACTTGAAAATTTGAGCGCCGGCCAGCAAAACCACACCAGGCAGATGATTACGACAAGCAATTTGACATCTTCGTCTGGGAAAATATCGGAAAGAGTGGCGTGCAACATCTGCAACAAGGAGGTCTGCAATAAATACTTCTTAAGGACGCACAAGTTGAAAGTCCATGGAATACGAGATGCTGGCTTTGATGGCGCAGCTAACAACAGCAACAACAACATTAGCATAAATAATAATAATAACCACAATAATAATGTTAATAACAACTCCGAGCAACAAAAATCTAGAGACGGCTCAGCGGTTAAAGAGCAAAAAACGTCAGCAGGCAACGTTGAACAGTCGGGGAATAACTTCTCAGCATCCACCTCAGATGTGAAATTTAACGCTAATTATACAAATGACAACGAACAGAACAAGAACCACTCCAACTTTTTCAAAAATTTCTCTCAAACTAACTCTGATTTTTACGATTCTTTCAACAAAAATGATAGCAGCCTCTTTAGCGAATCTTCAAAACCTACCAATCCATTCGAGCTGCTGGATTTATCACAACTTCCTAAGAATTCGGCTCCATCTAGACCAACAAAATCAACCTCAGCAACCAGCTCAAAATCAAATGCCGGAAAGATTTCAGAGGAAGCACCACCTTCCAAACAAAGTTTCGACCCAGAAGCCTACTGTGAAATATGCAAGAAAGAATTTTGCAGCAAATATTTTTTAAAAACTCACAAACAAAAAATTCACGGCTTGCGCTCCGACACCGACAACAGATCGCCATCTCTACTACCGCAGATGTCAGGATTTGGTTTACCGAGCACGTACCTGACCGACCCGAGCACAGCGAGTCTCTTCTCTCTCGACAGTTTCCTGAGCAAGAGCAAGGACCAACAGCCGTCGAATATGACGCGAGTCACCTGCGAGATCTGCGGCAAGGAGCTATGCAACAAATACTTCTTAAGAACGCACATGTTGAAAATCCACGGGATCTCAGAAACGTCAACCTTGAAGAACATCTGCGACCCGAACAAGCAGGATTCAAATGCAACTGCTTCCTCTAGGAAGAGTTCTCCATTCTCAACTCTAGATATATTGGACAGAAATGAATCAACGAGTAGTCCAACTGCCAATAATTCAGCTTCAAAAGTTGACGACCGCTATTATTTAAACCAGCAACAACAATTTACTCAACATTTTCTTCCAAACGATGCCAAAGACGCAAGAATTAACAAAGAAACACCAACAAAACCGTTTGAAAATGAAGTACATATCGATCCGTCGTCATCAAATTATGAAGCGCCAATGAAACAACCTCGTTTTCAATCAGATATGAATCAATCAGCCTCGAATATATCAATCAGTCGCATATCAAACCAATCAACACCTCCACCAGCGCTAAATAAGAACGATTCTCAAACATTCAACAACGCATTCAATCAAACTACCAATAATGTATCAGATACCTTGTCCAATAAACTGGCCGCCACTCAAAACAGGAAACGTCAACGTTGTTGTAGTAGTGGCGACAGTGGCGAACGACAGCCACAACAACAACAAAACAAAACGACAACATCATCAACTACTCAAACGACAATGACATCATCAACAACAACAACAACAACAACTAAAATGATGGCAATCAACCAGTCGAAAAAGAAAAAATTTGACGAAGGGACTCGGCTGAAATTTGACGAGTACGTACCCGTCAACTTTAGCAATAATGACAACAACGATGTTAACATCAACAACTTTGACAACAACAACAAATTCGACAATCAAATGAACGAAAACAACACATATGACAACTCAAACAACAACGATAAACACTCTAGCAAATACCCATCCCACAACAGCAACAGCAACTCAAACAACAACACACAGACCACCACAAACAACAACACCACCACCACAAACAACAACAACGATGACGTCAGCAGCGATCAAAGTGTCGTCATGCAAACATTCGAAATGAAGGAGAAACCGGCTGAGAACACGTTCGCACAGTGCAAACTGTTCTTACCTGTCGTGCAAACAATTAGCGAACCGATCACTCTAAAGTTTACCGTTACACCGCTAGAACGCTAATTATTTTATTATTATTATTAATTATAGATAATAATTTTATTTATAAATGAAAAGAATAATTATAGTTATAATATTTGTAATAATAATATTAACTAAACTGGTACCGTGAGTATGTAGGTAGGTGAGTAAGTATTACAAACGTGTATATACTATATGTATCAGTATATACGTCTGTTTGAATACATGTACGCGAGTATGTGTGTGTACGTATGTGTGTGTACATATGTGTGTGTGTGTACATGTGTATGTGCAGATGTGTGTGTTTGAAATGAAAAATGTCCTAGAATTTTTGACATCCGAAGTCGAAATAAGAAGATGGCATGTAAATGCTATATTTGTTATTATCTATTCTTCTTATGCTATCTTTCTAGTCAAATATTTCTCCACGTACATGTGTGTATGTATGTGTGCATATGTATGTATGTGCGTGTGTGTATGTGTATGTATGTGTGTTTATGTAAATATGTGTGCGTGTATGAGTGTGTGTAATATTGAAGATATACGAATTTTAAACGATTTTAACTTTAACTAAACTTTTTAATTGTTGATTTATTCAGTTTAATATATATATATATATATATATATATATATATATATATATATATATATATATACTGATTTGTTGAATCTCATTATGCAAAGCTTAATATATGCATTTTAATTACATACAGACGAAAATAAATTTAAAGTTAAAACAGAACATAATTATTGTGAGTGTATGTGTGTATATTGCAGTTGCGTCTGTGTGTGTGTGTGTGTGTGTATATTGTTAAATTTTGTTTCTTAATTAAGATTGATTATGTGGTCTAATGTTAATGATTGAACACTTAGAGCAGGGGTGGGCAAACCTTTTGATGTGAGGGCCGCGTTGAGAACTATTTTACCTCAGAAGGGCCGCAGATGTACTTAAATAGCAAATTTTTTCGACCCGGGGGGAGAATTTTTAAGATTTGTGGCTCCTTTTTCTGGTTATAATGTCTGGCTGACGAACAAGCTTTGCGGGCCGAAATTTGCCCACCCCTGACTTAGAATATATATATATATATATATATATATGTGTGTGTGTGTGTGTATTCATATATATATATATATATATATATATATATATATATATATGAATATACACATAAGTATATATTTATATGTATTCTTTTTCATATATATGCATTTTTCCCAACTCTCTTTCTCCATAATATGCATTTCACTTTATTTTTATTCATTCATTTTTTTTTGATAATCTGTTATCTACACGTACAAACATACACGCACATACAAACATACACGTACATACAAACATACATATACACAGACATACGCACACATACACAAAAACTCTAGCTAAATTACTAGCTTTCCTTGAAACGTAATATTTGCAACTTTTATTTATTTATTTATTTCGTCAGTTTATTTCGCTTTATTTCACATGTATGCCTGTGTATATAACATGCATACATTCACACACCCACACACATACACACACACACACATACATGCATACATACATACATACATACATACATACATACATACAAACAAACAATGTTTCTTGTATAAATTCATTTAGATAGATGTATGTTTCCTCCAAACTTTATGCATAGAAGCTGTTTTTGAATATCTGAGTTTAGAAATATGCGAAGAATTTATTCATATCATTTTCAATTATGACTAATTAATTATAATATAATTATATAATTTTATATTTTATTCTATAAATATAATTGTTTAATTTAAAAACACATTGCTTTATTTATGAAATCATTTTTCTTTATAGATATATATATACATTTTCGTTGGTTTTCCATACTATGATAGGCCAAAATACTATCAAAACAACACAAAATACGCGCGTATTGCTTTTGTAATTATACCTGAAGCAGAGTTTTTGTATGAAAATATCAGTATTATTATATTAAAAATAAATTTATTCTCATGTGTATGTAAAACAATTTTTTCTTTAATGTTTTTATGTTTTTTTTTCATTTTCCCAAGTATTCTGCGTTTTTTGTATTGTTTTGTATGTTGAGGTATTGTAATTTATGTATGTTAGGTTAATGTGCATATGTATGTATATTTGTATGTATCATGTACATTCACTCATACGTTTGTATACATACTTTTATAAATTCAAACATACATACACGCATACAAACATAGAGAAACATACATACATACTTACGTACATACATACATTTATACAAACATACATACATGCGTACGTACATACATACATACATATATGCCTACATACAAACAAACAAACATACTTACATGTTGTTTTATTTATTTCGTTCATCAACATTTATGCTGAAAGACTTATATATTAACATGTATGTTTATATGTATGTAAATTGTATAATAATAAAATGAAACTTAAATTAAGCAACAACATATCTTCATTCTGTGTATATGTGTGCGCGAGTGTATGTGTGTGTGTGTGTGTGTGTGTATGTTTATGTATGTGTGTGTTTGTATATATTTGATTGAGTGTGGTTACTGTTTTTCCTATTATTTAAACTTTCATCCAAAATGCAGTTTATATATACACATACATTCATACACACACATACATACATAAACATATCCATACATTCACAAATACATGCTTACATACATACATCCATACATACATACATAAATACATTCATACATACGTACATACATACATACATACATACATACATACATACATACATACATACATACATACATACATACATACATACATACACATGCACAGCTGTAAACATGAGCTCTTTATTTTTTCTTATAAACCAATATTTGCAATTTCTAAAAGTTTGATGTGAAAATTCCTTTTCCTCTTTTTCTCTCTTTTTTTTTCTCTCTCTCTCTCACTCTGTTTCTTTCTCTCTCTGTTTCTTTCTCTCTCTGTTTCTTTCTCTCTCTCTCTCTCTCTCTCTCTCTCTCTCTCTCTCGTTTTTAATGTTTGCAAACAAAGTTTTCCGTTCGTCAGCTTTTCTTCATTTAATTCTTCTTCCTCTGAATGATAAAAATAAAGTTTATAACCAAGGCTTGCAATAATAAAAAATAATAAATTATTATTAGTATTATTATTAATATTATTATTATTAATTATTATTACTATTATTTCATTTTCCAGGATTTTTTTCTTATTTCTTGTAAAGTAAAAACTGAAATTCATCGTTTGTAAGACTTTTAACTGAACGACCTTCATTATTTCATTTGTTCTTTCAATCGTTCGTCCATTCGTTCATTCTATCATTGATTCAATCATCCATTCATTCCGTTCGTTCGTTCATTCATTCATTCATTCATTCATTCATTCATTCATTCATGTATGCAATCATTTTAAATTATTGCATGGAAGTAGCTAACAACATCATCAACAACAACAACATCAACAACAACATCAACAACATTAACAAAATCAACAACATCAACAACAACATCAACAACATTAAAAATGAAGTCATTGTAGGAAGATAAAAATATTAACGTAAGTTTTCAAAAGAAATAACAAAAAGATGTCAATCTCAACTCATTATCGCTACGTAATTGTTGTTTATATTTGTATATTTAATTGCAGTGTGTGATGAAGCACACGTGTATACATACATAGTTCTGAAAACATATCAATTATGTTGTCTCCAGCGTTTACCTCTTTGCAACCAACACAATACATACATACAAACATACAAAAACAGAACAAAAATTAAAAATACAACTATACGGTTTCATCTTTTCCTGAATATTACATCAAATAACATTATCTTATTATAGAATTTCGCCCATGTATGTATGTATGTATGTATGTTTGTATGTATGTTTGTCTGTATATATGCATGTATACATACATACATACGTATGTGTGTACATGTTTGTATGTGTGTTTGTATGTATATGTGTTGGTATGTGCATACGTAACGGTTATAAATTAGAATTAGCTAGCTTATGCAATATTATTTAGAGCAAGCGGATTAAAAATCGCCTATTGTTATATTTCACATTTAAAGCTGAAAAATACAGTTATTATTATTATTATTATATTAATGAATAAATATAATTATTATCATTGTTGTTGTTATTATTGTTGGTATGTTTGAAGTTACAATAATGATAATATCAATTCTTTCTTGTTATTTTTGGAGGTTTTTTGCTCGAATTATGTCTGAGTTTTTTCACAGATTTTTTCTTATCCAATTCGTTTGTTCATTCATTCGTTCAGTCAGTTATTCGTTTATTCATTTATTCATTTATTCATCTATTTATTCATTTGTTCATTCGTTCATTCATTCGTTCGTTCGTTAATTCATTCATTCATTTATCCCGTGATTTAAGATCTCTATTGAAGTATGGATAAAAAACGGATGATGACGACGATGATGATGATGTTGATGACGGTTAAGATGACGATGGTGGTGATGTTCATGGTGATGATGATGTTTCTTTATGGAGGAATGTATTCGTAGCGAAGCAACGATTAAACTTTTTGAAAATAATAACTTTTCATTCAAGCTACTCTCATCAAACCTGTCTAGTTCTACGTTTCAAAAGGTAGCTAAGATCTGCTCGCACTTTTAAAAAATTATATTACTTATTATTATTATCATTGTTATTATTATTATCCTTATTATTATTGTTGTTGTTGTCATTATAATTCTTATGATTTATCTTATCACGTTGTATACATTTTTTTTTTAATTTTGAATAAAAGAGGATAACTTTGGAGGTAGAATGAAAAAGTGGAGGCGAGTGAAGTTGAGTTAATCACATCTCACTACTATGTATCGCTAAGACTGCCTTATCTCTTCAAGAAATAATAATTATAGTAATAATAATAATATTATTAATAATAATAATAAGAATAATAGTAAAATAAATGAATAAACAAAATTAATTAGTATGAAATAGATATTCTACACTCTCTAATTGACAGGGGAGTGAGTTTTATAACGGAGGAATGTGGGAGGAGGAAACCGAGGGAAAAAAATGACGTCATCGTCGTCGTCGTCGTCATCATCATCATAGCTATCATCCATATCATCATCAAAGTCGTCAACGTCATCATCGTCATCACCATCATTATGGTCATCGTTATTATCATCAGATCTGTTTCCGTTTTTATCATCATCATCATCTTCTCTATCGTCATCATCATCTCTATCGTCATTATCATCATCTCTATCGTCATCATCATCATCATCGTCAATGCCGTTATCATCATCATCAGCAGCAGCAGCATTATCATTGTCCTAATTCTAAAAAATAACATTAATATTGAATCACAATTAGCAATATTAATAATGATAATAACGATAATTTACATCATACATTGTCTCATCATCATAAAAGGACGCATAATTTTGAGGCGTTTTTCAATCTCTTTCCTTGACCTGGATTCGCGCAAACCGGGTCAAGCAGTCCGCAACCTGACCTACTTTCTAAATCCTGGACAATTTTTCCAGCTCTATCGCTTACGATTTTATATACGGCAATGGCGTTTCCGCCATAGCGCGAGTAGTTATAATCGAGTTGTAGCATCTCCAGCGATACACCGTAACTTGTCGATATTTCGCGGAGAATCAATTCGTCGGAGAATAACTCGTCGAATCTCTCGTCGGATTCGTATTTGTCCTTCGAATCGGTAATGTTGCTGTTGTTGTTGCTGGTGTTGTTGTTGTTGTTGCTACTTATGTTGTTGTTTGTGTTAGTGTTGTTGTTTGTGTTAGTGTTAAATTTGTGAGTCGCTGTCGACAGAGACGACGACAACGATGAGGATGTTGCCTGAAGTGATGATGATGATTTCGTTGATGGGCGCGATGATGAAGAAGCCGTTGAGCTGGTTTTTGCGAATTTACTAACCAAGTCATAACTGTTATTATTATTATTATTTTTATTATTATTATTAGTCGTAGTAGTGGCAGTGGTATTTGTATTATTATTGTTGTTGTTAGTGTTATTATTATTGATGTTTTTCATGTTGTTGTTGTTGTTGTTGTTTGCATCAAATGCTTGGTGAACCTTGTTCCCGCCGCATCGAAAGTGTCTCCTGCTTTTGAAGGCAAAGACGGCCGAGTTGATCTTCTCGCCTGCTAGCCACTCGTCTGCCAGCACCTCGTCCACTTTCAATCGCTTCACGGGGTCAGCCACTAGGATGTTCTTGATGAGTCGGTAGCAACCGTTGGTTACGAACTTCGGGACGACGAAGCTGCACTCCAAAATCAACTCCTGATTCAACACGGAGATGTATTATTGGTTTTAAAATAGTTACTCCCTTAAGAAATAAACTACAAAGTTGTTTTCCAGTTGCCACCGACCTTCAATTTTTTTATAGTCTCCGACTGGAAGGGTAGCGCCGCGGTCGCCATGAAGTAGAGAAGGACCCCCAATGCCCACACGTCGACCAACTCTCCCCTGTAGAAATCGTCCTTAAAAAGTTCTGGGGCGGCGTACGGGGGTGAGCCGCAGTAGGTGTCGAGGAGGTCGGGGTGGCTGAGGTGGATGCTGAAACCGAAGTCTCCAATTTTTAATACATTTTTTTGTTCTTCGTCGTTGCTGCTGTTATAGGCGCTGCTGCTGCTGCTCGAGAAAAGAATGTTCTCTGCCTTTAAGTCTCGATGTATCACACCTCGTGCGTGCTTCGTATGTTCATTTCATGAAAATTTAAAAGTCTTTTACAAAAAAAATGAAATTAACAAACGAACAAACGAACGAACGAACAACGAACCATGTGTTGTACAGCTGAGACCATCTGACGAAAATATCGCCGGCAGAGTGACTCGGGCAACCGGCCTTCATCGGTTATTTTCGTGTACAAGTCACCGCCTGGTGCGAATTCAACAATTAAACCGATCTTAGAAACGGTTTCGACTACTTGAAAGAGTTTGAGAATGTTTTGATGGTCGACTGAGTTCATGCAGTTGATCTCACGCGTCAGAAACCTTTTCGTCTTCTCCGTCAGTTTAGCCCGGTCGATGATTTTTATGGCCACTTTATCTTAATTTTGTAATAAAATAAAACGTATTTAATATGAATTAACACTGAAATTAAACATAAATCACATTTTTAAGAATTTATTTATAATTTTTTGTTACAAAACCAACCCTTCGTCATGGAGTGAATGCCTAGTTTTACTTGGGAAAAGTTTCCTTTGCCAATATCTTTGATAACCCGGTATAAACCGATCCGTTTTCCTAAAGGTTGAAGGTTAAAGTTTAAAGGTCTATTACATTCTTTCTAGTAGAAAAAATTTAAAAAAGTTATAAATATCCTGAAATATAAAGTGCCTCAGAGTATTTAAAAATTTATTAGAAAGTGAAACATTTTTCTTTCATTTTCTTGACGTCTTCTCATGATCCTTTTTTGATTGATTTTGACTGAATGATTCATTGAATGGTTTATCGATTTATTGATATAAACGTAGTTACACACATACATATACACACACACAGAAACATACAGACACACAAACACACAAATTATGTTACAAACCTTTCTTAACTTCAAGCTGCCAAATTTTGTTACTAGTCACTTGTTCATAAGCATCGAGGAATGAGTTTATTTTTTGCTGAGTTGTATTGTAATTATAACTACTACTATCGGTTGTCTTTGTTGGAATATCTTGAAGACTATTATTATTATTGTTGTTGTTGTTGTTATTATTATTATTATAATTATTATTATTATTATTATTATTATTATTATTATTATTATTATTATTGATAGTATCTTTGTCAAATTTTTTAATGAAGTTAATTTTTTTGGTACTGGCGTTATTAGAGGACATTATTATTACTATTATTATTATTGTTGTTGTTTCTGTTATTATTATTATTTTTTATCTTTCATTATTATTATTATTGTTGTTGTTACAATAATTAGAAGATATGGTTTTCATTTTTTCGCAATTTCTACCCCCACTATATAACAGTATGAAGCACTTTCTTTGCTGCTATTTTGAATTTAAATTTGAATTTATGAGCAAACTGATGCGTTTTATTCATCATTAAATCTTTAAAAAGATGAAACATAAGTTTAATTTCTATTTTTTAAACATTTTTTCGGGATATTAATTAGTGAGAAAACTGTATTTACGAATAGGACTAGTGATTTAGTCATAGTGTCTCTGTTTAGTTTAACCTTAGTTAGCCTAGCATTGATTATACATTAATTTTAAAATTCAATCAAGTATGTTAGCAGATTTTCTTAAAATTTCACATTTTGTCAATTCTAAAATTATTATTTACCAGTTATTATTAATAAAATTATTAATTAAATTGAAATTTAATGAAAATAATTGTTTTAAATGACTGAAACGTTTAAAAATTGTATGTGTAATCAAAATTTGTCCTTTTAAGCATTACCATGGTTACAGTGATGTTGAAAAATCTGGTCATAAATGATACAATTTGACATAAGAATATATTTTTTGTGTAATTTTAACATTTATAACTATTATTTAACTATAATTTTATATAAAAAATTTAATAAAGTCATAATTTTGGCCAAATTCCGTCTTTTAGATGTACCTATATTGAAGGAAGTTATAGAAAGAAAAGGTAAAATAAATTAAATACTTGTTTATATTGTGGTGCATTTTTAAGCGCAGTTGTGGTCGTATTTCTCTGTAAAATATTAGTCATAATTTTAAAATTTTAAAATAAAAACGTAAAATAATTTATATTTTGTTAAAGATAGAATTATTACTGATTTGTTGATTGATTCATTTGGCGAATACTCAAAATGCAACGAAAAATTAAGAACGTCGTAAAAAATTATACTGCTTCGGAAATAAAAGTCCGTGAAGCCACGTCGAATGATCCGTGGGGTCCGTCAACTACACTGATGTCCGAAATTTCGACTTTGACATTTGATCCGCTGGCCTTTGGTGAAATGATGAACATCATCTGGAAGCGACTGAATGACCACGGAAAAAACTGGCGGCACGTATACAAGTCGCTGGTGCTGTTAGACTTTCTCGTCCGAACGGGTAGTGAGAAGGTCGTGAAGCAGTGCAAGGACAACATCATCTTCATACAGACTTTGAGGGACTTCCAGTATGTTGAGAACGGCCTTGATTGTGGTCTCAATGTTAGGGAAACTTCAAAAAAACTTTATGACCTGCTGAGAGATGAGGACCGACTTAAAAATGAAAGGCACCGAGCTAACAAGTCAAAATCCAAATTCGGAGACTTCAGAAACTTTCAATCTGTAAGCAAATGTTTCTGAAATGTTTGTTTTTTTTCAAATTAATTTTAAAATATTTTTCTATCCTGAACCTTTTAATTAAAACTTCTCAAAACAGTCAGCTGGTGACTTACAAACAAATAACAATGGCTACTCCCTGGCTCAGTCATCGTCGACATCTTCATCGTCATTTGGAACGGAGAGAAAGTATAGACCATTCACAACAGATGAGATGGAAAGGGAACTTCACAGAACAACAACTTCTACTGCTGCTGCTGCTGCTACTGCTACTACTGCGGCTGCTGCTGCTGTTGGAGGAGATCGTTTGAGATCACCTAGAAAAGGTAGTATTATTTTTTTTCAATTTTTTTTCTATTTGGTGATTCTCTTGTTTTAATTATTTAAAATTTTCATGTTTAGCCAATGATTTAAAGCTCAATTTGAAAATTATTTTTGTTGTTAAATATTATTCCTAGTGAGTTGAGCAAAAAATTGAAAAAATATCAAGTGAAAAATTTCTGAAATTGTTTTAACGAGCAGATTTTTTTAAAAACACCATCATCCAATCAAATTGGTTGTAGCAAAAGACCCAGAGATTGAGTCAATCAGACCAACCAATCAGAACGAAGAGGAAATTCAACTGCAGCTGGCATTGGCTATGAGTAAGGAGCAACACGAACAGGAGATGAAGAAGATTAAAAGTGAAGAGATCAAATTGCAAATGGCCATCGAAGAAAGTAAAAGAACAGCTGAGAAAGAGGTTCATTTGTATGTTTGTATGTATGTATGTTTGTATGTATGTATGTATGTATGTAGGCATGTTTTTATATATTTCCAAGTATGTATGCATGTTCGCATGTGGTTTTTGTGTGTTTGTGTTTGTTTTCTGTTTGTATATGTATGTTTTTCTTTATGATCATTCGTCTATTTGTCATCAATTTCTTGTCTTTCTACAAGATATAATTTTATTAATAGTAGTTGTTGAATTACCAATATTGTGTGTGTGCGCTCGCGTGTGTGTGTGTGTTTGTGAGTCATTTCAATATGAAAAAAATGAGTTATTGTGTGTTCACGTGTTTTGTATGTTAATATTATAATTGCACTTGTTTAATCACAAAATATTCCTGATTCAATTGACATTCTACATTTAAAGTTAATTTTGATAAAAATTTGTTTAAAAAAAATTTTTAAACAATTATAAATTAACATTATCAATAATAAAATAATATTAATGAAATAATAATATTAAGAAAATTATAGTAGTAATAAGAAAAATTACATACAGAAATTGTGGCACCATCCATTGAACTATATACTGGAAGACCAACATCCTCCATCATCATCATCAAGACTTCCATATGCCCCGCCATCATCATCTCTGTCATCATCATCATTACTTGCTCAAGGTCTAGTTGACCCCTGGTCCTTAAGTGACCTTGATCCTTGGAAAACGGAAAACCCCGCTGTGGAAAATCCAGCTGTTTCTAAAAATGTCAACAGTACTGTCCAGGATTTGTTTGCTTCCTCTGGAGACTGTTAGTTTTATTTTTGATATTTTGTATAAAAATGTTTTTTTTTTACAAATTTATTTATATTATCATTAGAGTTTGTTTTTGTATTTTTAATCGTATTTAAAGTTTTTCAAAAACATTTTTTGTGTTGCTCGTTAAATGGGACTTGAATCTTCAAACTATCTGACTTAATCATTTTTTCATTCCTAGTTTACTCATCTGTAGACAAACCATTACACAACAACAACAACAACAACATTGATGACCTTTCGACTCGACCCAAATATCCATGGGAAACAATGGGCCCCCCTAAACATTCGACCGTCGAAAGAAAGGCCACTGATGAATTTTCTGAAATCCTAAACAGGGCACCACCACCCCAACAGCTCAACAACAACAATGTTGGCAACAATATCAGCAACAACAACAATGTTGGCAACAATATCAGCAACAACAACAAGAACGACAATATTGATAACTGGTTCAATGGGAATGCATCCAATGATGTTCAACAAATTCCTGCTGATAAAACTAACAACAACAGTGGCAACAACAATGTCTTGAGTGATAGCTTTGAAGATTTGCTTAATTTGAATCTTTCGTCGACAACATCTTCTCAACAAAAGGCAACCAAAAACACTAAAAAAATTACCCCAGAGGAATTTCTCGGTCCCAATGCTAAGCTGATAGATTTTGATGAACTCATTTCTAAGCCTAATCCAGGTTCGTGAGTTTTTCCTCACATAAAATTCACTTTTATGATTCTTTCCTCTTATTAAATTCACTTTATGCTTTTCTGCTCTTATTAAATTCACTAAATATCAATCTAAATATTTTTTGCAGCCAAAAATATCAACCCCTTCGCCATAACGACCGTCGTTAAAGGTGCCCCACAAAACCCTTTCACAGTAAAAGCCCAGCAAGAAGCTAAAAGCAATCGAGTTCCACTCAACCAATTACAGGCAGGTAACTTGGCAGTAGCCGACCAATCAGCTTCCTCGTTTCGTTTTGATAACTCCACTTACAGCCACTCACAGGAGCAGATGAATTTGAATTTGAATGCTGGAACCAATCAGGCCTTGACAAATTTTACACAGCCAGCTGTACAGAATCAAACTTACAATCCATTCTTGTAAATAAACGATTTGACGAATGTAATTATTAATATGAATTATTTGATGAATGTAATTATTAATATGAATTATTTGATGAATGTAATTATTAATATGAATTATTTATGTAATTATTATTATTATTACGATTATTTTAACTTTAATTTGTTATTTTTTGGTTGTTAGTTTTTATACAATTGTTGCCATAACCAATAACTATGTGAAACTTCTATTCACCAATTTTATTGATGGAATCGTTCGAAACTCCGTCGGTTGTGTTAACGCTCTGATTGATTTTTGTAAGCACATTTAAGTGCAAACACGCTCGCACATCATACACATTCAAACACACACACATTTATTATAAATATATATTAGTGTAAAGATAATTTAATTAACAGTAATTATAATTATACGATTATTATTGCTATTCGCCAAAGTTCAACCAAGATGTCTCTGGAACATCTATATATCAATCGCATGATTCCATTATTTATTTTCATTGGTTCTGTTTGGAACCATTTATACACCTTCAGTTCATTTGGTTGGCACTTTTCTGTGGGCAAGCCTTTTTTAATTCTCTTCTAAATATAAATCTTCTTGGTACCTTTTTCACTATTTTTTGACCAGTTCATATCAATCCTTTATTATTCTATAATTGTTATTATTATTATTAAGCAGGAATATAACCTTTGACCTGACCTATTAAATCGGGCCAGCCTTTATAAGTAACCCTGCGTATGTGTATATGTATGTGTGTATATGTTTGTGTGTGTGTGTAAGGTAGTTAATTTCAATATTGTGCGTATTTATATGTGCTGAACATTTCATAGTTCCTCTTTGCAAACATTAAAGTGTGCGATATTTAAACATTCTTTTTCGTCTGCTTAGACATTTCTTATACATATATATATATATATATGTGTGTGTGTGTGTGCGCGCGTGTGTGTGTGTGTGCGTATAAAATTGTTAAATGTTTATTATCGGATGTCTTTGTTTTAGGCTGTCATGCTTAAAATAAATAAAAATTTTGGCATATATATATATATATATATATATATATATATATATATATATATATATATATAATGTTCTTTAAATGGTTGGTTTAAAAATTTTCCCGCTTTTCATTGGCGTAAATCCAATCTATTTATCATCCATTTGTTAGAGCTTGTGTATATTTATGCATGTTTGTATGTGTGTGTGTGTGTGTGTATATATATATGTATGTCTGTGTGTGTTTGTATGTGTGTGTGTATCGTCTGAAGTTGGTCACGAATATATAAATATATATGTATGTATATATGTATGGTCTCCTTCCAACATATATATATATATGTGTGTGTGTGTATATATATATATATATATATATATATATATATATATGTATATATAGTGGTTATTATTCATCATAATTAGAGTTCGAGATGAAACATTATACATAGATTTATTTTCTTAATTAATATTTTGTATTTAATTAATTTAGTTGTTTTTTGGGTTATTCATTATCTGTATTTTCATTCTTGAATGTTTGATTAAAATTAACGATGATTGTTATTAAATATATTTCTATTACTTTGATCATATTTATAACCAAGTTACCGTTTAGTATTTTCAGCATTAAAAATTCTTTAATTTCTACGTGTAATCCTACATTTAAATGTTCAATTTCATGTTTTTTTGTAGTAAATATATGAAATTTAAATGAATTTTTAGATTTGTATCGGTTTGGAGTGGAAAGTTGCAGTTGGAAATAACGTAAACAAATTTTATAGAAATTGAGCGCTACAACATTAATTATTGTTTCCTTTAACTAAAATGAACATCGGGAATCCCGTTTTCCCTCGCCTTCTTCCGCATATTTACTTTCGAAAATGTTTCAAATATATTTAATTTGATTTTAAAAAAAAATAATTATAAATTAATTGTTTTGATTGTGTGAAAATAATTGTTAAGAAGAAAGTTTCATAGCGAAATGTCCTTAAAAAATTGAATTGTTACGTCTGCCATTGCAAAAAATAGATCTAGACAAAATTCTAATGCGTTTTTTACGCCGTTTTGTAATGCCTATTTATAGCCCAATGATACAAGAGATTGTTTCATTTCAAGCACGAACTGTGCTATAAAAGTTTTTCAAAGTTCGTCGGATTTATTTTTTTCTCACAAAAAAATTCATATATAAAAATAAAAAATTAGATGGTTTTCTATTTTTTTTTTAAATTGGAATTAATTAACCTCAGAAAAAATAATAACAAAATAAATAATTAATAAAAATGTAAGTAATCTTTTTCTATGATTCTTGTTTGATAAACTGTTCACCAGAACAAACAATTTTTGACTGTCTTAAACTTGCACTTATCTTAATATTATCACCATCTTTATTCTCTGTTTGACTGGGGGTTAATCTCAAATTGCAGAAAGCTTTTATCATTTTATAATAACTTTCATTTTAATACTAACATTTATATATATAATATAAAAAGAATATATGTATATATATATATATTATATATATTTATTTATATATATATATATGTTTATACTAATAATATTTGTTTGTACTATTACCTTTTAATCTAACCTCCAAATTTACTCAAGACCCTCCATCATCATCTGTCCATCTGTCAATCAACTACATACATCTATCTACTGCCGTTTCTGCATCCAATTATTTACTAATTAAAAAACCTAATTTATCAGTGGTACCTTTTAAAATCTTCATTTGTTGGTACCAAAAATCGTAAACGGCATTTTCAAGTTTGCCTAGTTTGTCATTTGAATAGTGAAGGACATATCGCATCAGCAACACCAGCATTACCTTCTTTACTGCTACAACAACAAAGACAACAGCATCAACATCAGCCTAACAACATGGAAATGCTAGCAGGGGGCCAACAAAAACCTTACATTGAAATAGTCACCCAGCCGAAGAAGACATCACTTCGATTTCGATACTCAACCGAATCGAGGAAAGCTGGAAATATTTATGGTGACAGTTGCACTGAATCGAATCCCACCTTCCCTACTATTAAGGTTATTTTTTTATCTGATGGTGACGACGAAGAAAATGACGACGATGATGTTGTTGATGTTGATGTAGAAGTAGTTGTTGTTGTTGATGATGTAGTAGTTGTTGCTGTTGTTGATGATGATGGTGGTATTGCTTTTAAAAATGATGATGATGTTGATGATGATGGTGGTATTGTTTTTCAAAATGATGATGATAAATGATGAATAATGATGACGATTCTGGTGATTTCTCTCTTGACGATGGTGTTGTTGTTGAAAATGGCGTTGGTGAAATATTTAAAATGACGATAACCCCTTCTACAAAACTATCCAGATAAATAACTATAGAGGCCCTATGAGGGCCATGATGCTGTGCGTGACTGAAGATGGCTGCCTGCATCCACACAAACTCGTCGGCAACAACTGCCGGCCTGACGGCATCTGTGTCGTCGACGTCAAGGAGCCACTGTTTGATGACCTCATAAGGTAGTTGCGGTCGTTGGGATTTTGATGTTGTTGTTGCTGTGATGTTGTTGTTGTAGTTGATGTGATGCTGTTGTCGTTACTGCTGTGATGTTGTTGTAGTTGCTGTGATGTTGTTGTTGTTGCTGTGATATTGTTGTTGTTGATGTGATGCTGTTGTTATTGCTGTGATGTTGTTGTTGTAGTTGCTGTGAAGTTTTTGTTGTTGATGTCATTGCGCCTGTTATTGTCGTAATAATTGTTTAACCAGTGAATAATTAATTAATCAACTACGTCATAATCGTCGTCGTCGTAACGCCACCAGCTTCACTAACGTCGGAGTACAGTGCTGCCGTAAAGATGACGTCAAAAAGTTCATTGACGAGAAGAAACATTTCCTTGGGAATGCTGGTACGTTGGTACTGATGACGATGACGGCGGTGGTGGTAATGATGATGATGGTGACGATCAAACAACACCAACAGAATTTATTAATACTTTCATTCATTCATTCATTCATTCAATTATTCATTCATTCAGCCTCAGTCCCATTAAAACCTAGGTTAATTGATCTGACCTACATTTATTTATTAACTCATTTACTGATTCATTCATGTCCTGCTTATGACATTAAACTGACCCTCACTGCCTTGTGAGTGATGTTGGATCATCAAAGGCTAGGCCCACCGCTTATAACTGTGGTTGCGTAAGGAAGGGCGTCCTGCGTAAAAATTAGCCAAATAAATTACTTATGATGGAATGGCATCGAGGGGTATTTCGGTTTCATCATAGGTAGCCAAATGGCAACCCCCGATCTCGGGGAAAATGTCGTCTAAACGTGTGTTGTTGTTGTCATTTACTGATTCATTCATGCATTCATTTATGCATTCATTCATTCATTTATTCATTCATTCATTCGCTCTTTCATTCAGTTCCGGTTCCGCTGAATCCCAGTTTGATTGATTTGACTTGCATTTATTTGTTATTCTTGGTTTACATTAAGGACCAACCACCCATTCAGCCAGTCAGATCTTGGATTATTATTGACAAAAGTAAATTATTCCACTTATTATGATTATTATTATTAATTATTATTAATTACAATTGTTTATATTATTATTAATAATAATTATTAATTACAATTATTTATACTATTATTAATAATAATTATTAATTACAATTGTTTATATTTTTGTAAATTAGGATTTGTATGTCCGTTCTGGTGTTTTTGATATTTTGACTTGTTTTGTTCCTTTTGGTTTGAACAGTTGAACTTTTATTACAATGATAGCAATGTTTGTTTAGCACGTCGTTCGTAGATTAATTGATTGTTCGTTCGTTCGCTCATTCATTCGTTCGTTCGTTCATTTGTTTGTTCATTCACTCAATCATTCGTGCAATAATCTATTCAACAGTTCATTCAATAATTCACTCATTCATTTAACCGTCTATTCATCTACCATTCATTCATTCATTCCTTCATTCATTCATTCATTCATTCACTGCAGAACATTGTTGCGACCTAACAATAACGAGACTCAGCATACACTCGTGCCCTGCCAATGGATTGATAGCTAACGAGAAAGCTGAACTCTTCATACTTTGCAACAAAGTTAAAAGAGGTTTATTATCATTAATATTATTATTATTAACATTATTATCATTATTATTATTATTATTATTGCCGTTTATTATTATATAATTTTTTTATTCATTCACTCATTCGTTCGTTCGTTCGTTCATCCACACAAACCATCTATACACTCTTATTATTAATTACCAAACTTTTTTGATTTAACTTTAATTATTATTTTTATTATTAATTATGGTAATTATCATCATTGTATATTCAGATGATGTTGAGGTTGTCTTTCAGCACGACGGCTGGGAAGGTCTCGGTCAGTTTGTGGCCACTGACGTCTTCAAAGAAGTAATAATGTCCATACTTACTACATAGTAATAAACTCAACACAAAAGTAATATTCACACCTATGCTACTAGTAGTGCTGGTTGCTACTGCTGCTACTACTGCTGCTGCTGCTGCTGCTTCTACTACTTCAATTAATATTATTCCTTTTTTTTCTCAGTCTTCTACTCGCGTAACTTGAATCTAATTCACTCATTTATGAATAAAAAACTCTAAAAACAGTGCGTCATAGTTTGCAAAGTGCCACCCTTCCGAGATGAGCACATCACTTCTGAGGTCAAGGTCAGATTATTCTTGAGGCAGCCGTCTACTGGGGAAATTAGTAACTCAATGTACACGTTCTCCTATACTCAAGTCGATACTGGTATGTATGTTTGTATGTATATGTATGTTTGTATGTACGTGTGTGTGTACGTTTGTATATACGTGTGTGTGTATGTTTGTATGTACGTGAGTGTATGTTTGTATGTACGTGTGTGTGTGTTTGTATGTACGTGTGTATGTATGTTTGTATGTACGTGTGTATGTATGTTTGTATGTACGTGTGTATGTATGTTTGTATGTACGTGTGTGTGTATGTTTGTATATACGTGTGTATGTATGTTTGTATGTATTTGTGTATATGTATTTAATACCTCAGACCCGTCTATGCTACGCTACAAAAGATTACGTCTCGATCCACTTCTCAATCCTCACAACAACAACAGCATGTTTGCCATGCAACAACAATCTCATTTTCCAGCCCCTATTTTCCCTGGTAGTAGTAATCGTAGCGGTAGTAATGTTACTGTTGGTACTGGTAGTAGTAGTAGTAGTGGTGGTGGTGATGGTGGTAATACTGACAACACCTCGATGGCCCAGCTACCGTTGATCTGTCATAATCCGAATTTGATTGGTTGGTGGGATGTTTTGATTGGTTGGTGGAATGTTTTGATTGGTTGGTGGAATGTTTTGATTGGTTGGTAGGATGTTTTGATTGGTTGGTTGGATGTTTTGATTGGTTGGTTGAATGTTTCCGTAACTTCAATTACGTTTATTCAATTGTTATTTTCTGTTGAATCCCTCCTCAAAGGAATCCAAGACCGACCAGTAAGACAACATAGAATGAGCAAAAAACAGCAACAACACCAACACTTGATACATCAGCATCACCTCCGACAACAACAACAACAACAGCAGCAACAACGTAGACAACATCAACTCATACCATCAACCGTGGAATTCTCATCACATCAACAACCAACGGCATCACATAAACTTCATCATCTCCCATCATCATCATCAACACAACAACAACAACAACATCAGTTGCCTACGTCAACAATGACGTCATCAGCAACAGCAGCTGCAAGCAAAGATGACTTGCCTGATAACTGGCTTTCCCTGTCGCTGGATGAGTTTGATCTAAATGGCGTCATCAGCACCGCTAATAACTTTTTTGATGACGTCACAGAAATTTCTCCAGACAATGAACAGCCAATCTTGGATGAGTTGCTGAAAAATTTCAATAATTTTGAAGAGGCGGAAGATAATAAAGATGATATTTTGAAATTGCTGCAATCGCAATTTCCATTGGAGACAGGACAACACCAACAGCAACCGTTCGAAGAGGAATTGAAATTTACACCTAACCTTATGCAACTACCACAGCCGCAGCATCACCAGCAGCAGCCACAGCAGCCACAACAAAATCTTCCAGTGAGGCAATTAAATAATGGGTACAATTTCATGCCATCAGGCAACTTCTTGTCTCGGTTTCCGAATTTTTCCCATGGTCCGCCTGTGTTTTTCGGCTCAAATAATCAGGAACTACCGCAAAAAATGCAATTTACTCCTTTACAGTTTCAGCAGCAGCAACAGCAGCAGCTTCAACAGCAGCAACTCCAACAGCAGCAACTACAACAGCAGCAACTACAACAGCAGCAGCAACAACTGCCAACGAGCCAAACTTTCTCTCATATAAGATCAATGACACCTATCCAACCACAACAACAACAACAATTTACACAAATACAACAACAACAACAAAATTCACCCTTCTATAAATAAACAATGACAACAATATTTGATACGAGTTTGTCGTCCCGTTCCCTTGCTTCAGATATATACGCTAACTTATATATATATATATATATATTATATATTATATATATTATTTGATACGAGTTTGTCGTCCCGTTCCCTTGCTTCAGATATATACGCTAACTTATATATATATATATATATATATATATATATATATATATATATATACATATTGACTGCATCTCATATACAAATTTTAATAATAATAATTATATTATTACTTATTACGTTTTATAAAATTTATGAGGGTTGTTTTGAAACGGCCTATATTTTTTTGCGTCTTTGGTTGCCGGAAATATTTTTCGATTGTTATCTTGTTACATCTTCATCACAGTTACTGTAGCCACACATTACATTCGCAGTTACTTATTGCATGTAAAGTTACAATTATTTTTACATGTAAAGTTACAATTTTGTTTGTTAATTAGTGTCAGAAGCTGCTTACACGTTTACGCTGTAATTAAATTCATGGTTGTCTGTTAACATTTTCAGTTTAAATTAAGCCAATGCCAACTGTTTTACAAAATTACAGATTCTCATTTAAGTATAGTTTTGTGAACTGTTGTGAACTGTCATACAATCATTTGAAATTCATTTATTTACACATGTGTTTGTTTGTTTGTTGCATTTGAACTTCAAGTATCTATGTATTTGTGTACGTATGTGTGTGTATGTATATATGAATGTATGTGTGTGTGTATGAACCCGTTTTGCATGGTTAGGCATGCAATCGTTTCCGAGTTCAACTTTTATCTATGTCCCTGGTCTCTTACAGTCAGGTATCTTTAGCAGCTCCATCCTTAAGAATTTGATAACCAGTCTGTGCGAGACCAACATACAAAGTGTGTGTATGTATGTATATGTGTGTGTATGTATGTATGCATTTGTGTGTATGTATGTGTGTGTGTATGTATGTTTGTATGTACGTTTATTTCCATTTGTTACATACACTTCTACGTCATCATCATCATCCTTAACGACTTCATTATCAACAAAAACAACAGGATTGTCAACAAATATCTTCACAAAAAATGCTAGAACATTATACGATATGTGTGCGTGTGTGTGCGTGTCTGTGTGGCTTATTGATTTCCCTTTTCATCTGGTAATTCGTATACATACAGTGAAAGAGTCAATTTAATTTTATAATAATGTTGTTTTCTTTGTGGGAAAAATAGAAAGATTCAATTGTATACGGAAAATTCTTTTAAGATTTTTGAAAAAAAAATCTGCCAATTATATCAAAAAGACATTTGAGAACGATGAAAATCGCGAAAAATGACTGAAAAAGTCGGTGTCGGATTTCGAAACTTTGGTGACCGATATCTCGGAATCCACTGATCTGAATTGAAACGACTTTTGGAGAAAAAAGTTTGAGGAAGAAAAGCTTGAAATGACGAGATGAACCTTTTGAATGGTCCAGCTTGAGAATCGGTAAAGGTTCACTTTTTTGATTAAACTTTCTTTGCCACAAAAAAAGAGTCGTTCCAATTCTGGTCAATATTTTCCGAGATGTTCAGCTGCAAAGTTTCTGGTTCTTTAAGGATTTTCAGTTTTTTAGGTTGCTGTGACATTTTGTGGTTTAAATCTCTAAAAACTCCACTTTAAACAATGACAAGAAAAATTCTTTTATAAAATTTTATTCAATTTCATCCCATATATTGTACACACACATATGTATATATATATATATATATATATATATATATATATACACGTACGTACGAACTACAATATATATACGTACATATTTATTATATATTCGCCTTTTTTTCACTACTCTTACATGATTTAACCAGTCATCTACATTTGGTATCCACAAAGCATTGATAATTTAAATATTAAAAATGTTCCCCAATCAATCAACCAACCAATCATTCATTCATTCGTTCTTTCATCCATAAAATATTCCACATTCTATGTATAACGTAATATACCCCACTAAAGTAACATATCTTACTTAATAAAAATTATAAATAAATAAATATATATGTGTGCGTGTGTGTGCGTGTTTGTTTGTGTGTTAAGTTAGAAGCGTTTGGTTGGTTTTCCGTTGTTGTAGTTCGCTATGTGATGAAAATCAAGTGACAGGATTGACAATTTGAAATCGTTCAACTGACTGACTGATTAGCTGACTGAATTTTAGTGGTTGATTGACATATTAGTGATTGAATCCATCAATCCATAAGCCAATCTCAACCAACAAACAAAGCAATCAATCATTCAGCCATTCAATTAATTAATTAACAAACTAATCATTAATTAATTAATCAATAAAGAAACGACAAATTATTCTTAAAACTTGTCGTTACTTAAAAACTCTGAAAAACGAATCAACACACACTTAGCAAGCACTCACTCATAAATAACGACGCTACTATAATAATAATAATAATAATAATACACATTATTATTAATTATCATTGTTATATTCATCATTCAAACACTCAAACACACACAGAAACACACACACACACACACACACACACACACACACACACATATATATATATATATATATATATATATATATATATATATATATAAATATATAATGCATCTTAAACAACAAAAGCACGCTAGCAAACAATTTTATATATATATATATATATATATATATATACACTACACATACATGATCATACAAATAGGATCTTATAATGATGAAAACACACAAACCACACAAACATACAATGACAAACACACACACGCACGCACACACACACACAAACAAACAAATATATCAAAAATTTTATAGGCAAATAAAAATTAAACATTAATATTTGAAAACTCAAACAAACAAACAAAATAGAGAAACAAAATAATAATAATAACAATAATACGAAAATACAAAAAATTAAAAACAAGAGATTAAATAAGTGTCTGCAAATATACAACAGAAAGTAAAACCAGAGTAAAAACACATACAAAAAAACACACATACATACATACATACATACAATATACATGCATACATACAATATGCATGTATACATACATTCACACAAACATACATACATACATTCACACAAACATACACACGTTCACACAAACATACATACGTTCACACAAACAAAGTTAGATACATACAAACTTTAAAAAAATGTACATAATCTACAAAAGCTTAATTTTTCAAAAAAAAAATGACTGATATACTTTTAAGACTGTCAGACGCATATATATATATATATTATAACAAATATAAAATATATAATTATAAAATTATAACAAATATAAATATATAAATAAATATAAACGTATGAAAATAAACAATTATAAAACACATATAAGGGTTTGATAGGTAACATTATTTTGAAAAATAACATATTACTACCAATAATATTAATAACAATAGCAAACAAACATTAATACACCGTAACTAAATAATAATTATTATTATTATAACGATTATTATTATAAATAATACTTTGAGAGAGAATAAAAACGTGTATATATATATATATATATATATATATATATATATATATATATATATATATATATATATCTACATCTATGTATATGCCCCATGTATTCATATGCTTGTATACATGTGTATATATTTTTTATTTTTAAATACAATCTGAAATGACGAGAATTAAACTTAAAACAGGGCAAAACAATTGATAGCAGCTTACGAGCAAACTGAAATAAAATCTGTTTGAAATCATTTGAAGAAAAGAGCATTAAATAATCATAGTCCTCATCATCATCGTCCTCCTCATCATCATCGTCATCATCATCACCGTACAGACGCATTCGCAATCAACCGTCTATAAACTATAATCTATAATAATATTATTAATAATTATCATTAAGATTACTACAAATACAGCCGTAATCACCATCCTCACTGCCACAAGCACATTTTTTTATTTGACACTCACTGAGAAAACTATATAAGAAAATAAACAAATGAAGATGATTCATTGATATATATATATATATATATATATATATATATATATATATATATATATATATATATTTCCACCATATTCATCATCATCACCATTAGTATTATTACTCAACCAATAACGCCATGCCATCACGTATCTAGCAACAAATCTCCGCCATTACCATCATCATTATTATTAATATTATCACCATAATAGTCGTCATCATTGTAATTATATTATTATTACTATTGTTATTGTTATTATTATTTTTATTATTACCGCTAATTTCAATTGGCTGCGATCTGTTTTTGATTGACGTTTAGTGAATCCAGCCTCTTCCAGAGCTCCTCCCTCTCCTTCTCTTTCTTCTTCTCTCTGATTGGAATTATTTTCAAAAGTGACAAATGGCAAAAAAAATAAAAATAAACTAGATACAAATAATTATTTATATCATCATCGTCACAATTATAATTATTAGTAATTAGTCATAATTATCCAGATTACCAACACAGACCTCTGCCTGTCAGCTTTATAGGATGAGGTCAGTTCATCAAAGAGCTTGCTATTTATCTCCATAAAAGTCTTGAGAACGTTGTAGACCAGGGCTACTATAGTTTGATTCCAGTGCTCTTTAGAGATGCGGTAGAGGGCTGGAAACATGATTCTAAGGATGTCAGAGGAGTTCTCCTCTATTAAACTCATTATGTACTCGTTGTTCCAGTAATACAGCGCTCGCTCTGCCACCTATCGCGTTGGGAGGAAAAAAAAGAACATTTTATTTTTTATAATTGGGTGGAATAATTCTTAAAATGTGGAGTCATTTGATAAGTAAATAATGATGAAGAAAACTTAGATGGATTAATGGTTGGAAGAACGAATGAACGAACGAACGAATGAATGAATGAATGAATGAATGAATGGGCGAATGAATGAGATGGACGAAGGAAAGATAAATAAATAAATAAATAAATAAATGAAATAACCAACCTGGAAATGAGGACTAGACACGCATTTAGCTAGTTGTTTGAACATTGGATCCATAACCTACAAACAAACAATTAGTATTAATCATCAGTATCATTACTGAAAACAGCAGCGGCAGCAGCTGCTACAGCAACCACACACACGACTCTGACCTTTTGAAATTGAGTTGGTTCAATGACATCTAGTATCTCTTCTAACTCACCAAGGAACATCACCTAAGTTATTAATGCAAACAAAAAATTAAACAAACATACATACATACATACAAACAAACAAACCTACAAACATACAAACCTACAAACCAACACACCTACATGCATACACACCTCTTTCTGGCTACAAGTTTTAGGCCAGAATTTAAGTATACCCTTGATAACTGGCTCAGTTAGCGAGGCATCTTTTTCAAGAAATTGCACCACACAGTATGCTAACTGTTGTATATGTTTGTGTACATATGTATGTATGTATTTGTGTGTGAATGTATGTATGTGAGTGTATGTATGTGTGTGTCTGTGCATGTGTGTATGTATGTGTATTTCCAAACCTGTGCATGGTAAAGACTTAGGCTGCGAGCTTTGTGTAGAGGGAGAAGAACGGATAGTAGAAACTGCTTGTGTTCATTCTTCAGTGGCAGGGCAAATCCATTTATGATGCTGGATATCAGTCAGGATGATGGGGTGACGTCATAATGTATGATGTCATGACGACGTAATGGTAGTTGTGACGAAAAATGTGAACAAATCAATGTTAAAAAAATTGTCAGCGACGTCATCATCAACAAAATCTAAAACAACCTTCCAAGAATTTCCAAGAGTTCTCCAGTGCCGTTGAACTGCTCAGTTTCATATATGAACCTGGAAGAGGGGATATTATATACAAATTCAAAATACCTATCATAAAATTATAGACATACAAATATTCAAGCATACATATACACAGAAACACACACACAAACCACTAAATGCAGATCAAACCAGCTAACTAATCAACAAGCCAACCAATCAACAAACACACACACACAAACACAAAACAACAGATAACCACACAAACAAACGAAAACACACACACACACAAACCTCAAAAATATGTTGTTAATTTGTTTCCTGATGAAAGCTCTTAGTCCCAAAAACTTCCCATAAATTCTGTGAAGCACCGTCTTCAAGAAATCCCTCTCCCTTGGATCCTCACTATCAAACAGTTCTAGAAGCTTCATCATTTAGGAAAAGATGACGATGATGTTGACGTCATATTGATGTCATTATAATGTTGATGTCATTATGGTGTCATCACTATGATGATGATAATGGTGATGATAATATGATGAAAATGATGATTTTAACAAATTTAAGATAATGAAGATAGTGATAAGTTAAGGCTACAATGATTAAGATGACGATAAAAATGGGATAATGCAAATGTCAATAAGGTAAATAATGTCAATTTGTGAAAACACACTGCCACAAGAATGTCAATAAAACGGTAATTTAAAACAACCCAGCAAAAACTGAAAACCTAAATTTTGAAAAAATGGTACAAAATGGTGATAACAACATTAACAATCACCATCAACCTCATCATCATTGTAATCACCTGTAGCACAAATCTCTGATCGATAAACTTCTTAGCCATACTCGGCTGAAAATCCGGAGTCTCCAGAAACCTCAAGAAAAACTCGTAAATAATCTACAAATGAAAAAATAACATTGACATTGTAATAATAATAATATATTCTTGGGCCCTAACACCTGATCAATCAATCAAACAAAATGGTCAAACCCAAACGACACAGAATAAAGATAATAACCCTGGGTTTGCCATATTCTGATAGAAATAATAAAAATTGGTCACTGAAAATAGTTAGATATTACAAATATAATGAAGATAATAGTCACTGAAAATAGTTAGATATTACAAAATAAAGATAGCGTGGGTACCTGCAAATGTGGCCAGGATGCATCTAATGTGGGATCATCCTCCTCAGGATCAAATTCAGGATTTTCACTGGGTGGTAGGGTGCGAAATATGTTGCAAGCAATCTGGCATTTGGTGTTTTTTTTGTAAAATGTTATTTTAGTTAAGGTCATGCATATCTGTTTATAACTTTAATGAAACCAAATACTTTTGGTTTTGTATTTGTGTAAAATTATAATTAAATTGAAACATTTATAGAACTTCTTTTAATTAAACAAACAAACAAACCATTTTGACAATTTCAGGATAGAGAGGTTCAGTTAGTACACCCCTGGCTGCAGTGATGTACTCAACAATTTCATTCAGACATGCCCTTTTCACCTCTTTACTCTTCAAATCGGCCACTGGGTCCATGAAATTAAAAACCACACAACACTGCTGCATTTTACGGATGAATAAATCTTGCTGCTCTGAAGCTGGGGTATCTGATGAATAAGAATTAATTGGCTTTTAATAGTTAGAAATTAGGGTGATCTATTAATTTGAAATTAAATTGAAATAAAAAATATTTTAACCTTTTAACTGGGGTAGTGGTGTCAACTCTGACGAAATTTGGCTTCTGTAATGAGAGGAACCCTGGCTTCTTTTCTGCTTTCTACTTTTTATCAGGGCCTTGTTCTTGAAAGGATCAATCTTATCAACTAATTTCCCAGCCATGTTGAAATGTTTTTATTCGAATAGCAATGGATAGTGAAACAATTCACAAAGTACTAAAATATAAAACTCTTAAAAAATAATTTTACTATGTTTAAAAAACATTTCAAAAATAATATCAACTGATCAGTTTCTGAAACTTTAAAATTATTTTTAAAATAAATAGATCGCGTCTTAAATGTCCTAACCGCTCAGGATTATTGACAATTAATTAATCATTAAATGCTAACAAGTAATTTTCAATTAAAAAAATAATTAGGAGCCTAGAAAAGAGAAGACGATGTTTTAGCCGTTTGACGTTTTTGAGTCACTTTTCCGAAATAAATTAAAAAGAGATCGGATAAAATTAAACAAAATTTATCTTTCAAATAAAGTTTTAGCAAGAAATAAGTTGATTATTTTAAAGAAAAACTAATTAAAATCTCTCCAAGCACAATATCACGCCGACTCCATCTTGTTTTGCAAAAAGTTTCTCGGCTCACGTTGCTTGCAAATTTGGCCCAATAATTTTAATTAATTTTCTGAAAAATGAAGCGCATAATAATGATTCGTTTATACTCAAAATTTCATTAAAAATTAATACATTTGAACATTTTTTTAATTAATTGTGTATAAAATTATTTCAAATAACTTTAAATTACTTATAGAATTCACTTACACGATCAAATAAGCTCAATTAATCATTTAATTTATTCCATCCAAATGGAAATGATATTGTGATAAGTAACCCGATATAACGAAATTCACATCTGGAAAGTTACCAACTTCAATTATTTGTAATAAATTTTTTCGTTAGAAAATGGCTGCTGTGGTTACTACTACCACTACTTCTACTACTACTACTACCTACTAATACTACTACTACTACTACTACTACTACTACTACTACTACTTTTACTAATACTAATGCCGCTGCCACTACTGCTGTCGCTACTACCGCTAAAAAAGTACAGTTGTAGTATTTGTGTAAGCTTGTAATTTAAAATGTAATTAAAAAATAGTAAAGTAATTCAATCAATAACAGTAGTAATTTTGTGGAGGTATTTGATGTTACTTACAAATACACACACACATACACACATATACGCACACACATACACACACACATGTATATAAATACATACACACACATACACACATACGTGCACATTCATAAGAATACACAAATATTTCACTAAGGCTGCTCATCTACAAGGGTTATTAATCACAGTAAATAAATCTTCACACGCACATACAATACACGAACACTTGCACATACATACATAGACACACACACAGTAAGAGAGAGAGAAAGAGAGAGAGAGAGAGAGAGAGAGAGAGAGAGAGAGAGAGAGAGAGAGGTAAGTAGGTTCCAAAAGATTCACCTGTAATATTTACATACATAGGTGTTTGTTGATGTTGGTCGGTGAATGAGTTAATACCTAATGAATTCTCAACATTGTATGACTAACAAAATTCAAGTAATCCTCTCTTTCCCTCTCTCTCTTTCTCTCTCTCTCTCTTTCTCTCTCTCTCTCTCTCTCTCGCTCTCTATCGTTTCATACTTTTCTGGTAATCTCATTCTGTCCTAATACGGTTTATAGATACTTAATGTCTTTCTCCATTTCCGTTCTTATCTCTCCAGCCATCCTAATAGAATAGAATAGAATAGAATAGAATAGAATAGAATAGAATGGAATGGAATGGAATGGAATGGAATGGAATGGAATGGAATGGAATGGAATGGAATGGAATGGAATGGAATAGAATAGAATAGAATAAATTTTCAACGTAATCACCACCATAGTCTAAATGGTTTTTAAGAATAAATAATTCAATAGTCAAAATGTTCGATTGAAAATGTTCAGTTTAACTTAAAATTTTTTGGTTTGTCATCTTTACTTCCATATATAGAACTCACTCTGCCAAAATTTATCTAAGGCTATCTTGAAACTAGTAATATTGGCTGATTTGGCCAAATCTTCAGCTAGGCCATTCCAGTCGTTTTACTATTTTGTCGGTGAAGGAGTATTTTCTGACATCTTTTTTTAAATTCATTTAACCAACTTCATTCCATTTCATACCATTCCCTCTTGTCGCCATGCTAGGTGCGTTAGTCTGGCTTCTTATAGACATCCAGCAGTTCATTAAGAAAACAGGATGAAAAAGAATTTGGAAAGAAAGGACGAGAGAGAAAAAAAATGGGAGAATTATAATGGTTCTAAATATAAAAATAATGAATAAATAAAAGTATTATACCAAAAAAGAATAAAAAAGATTTAAAATATTAGATCAAAAAACTGAGAGTGGACGTTTTTAAGAAATATCGTTACTCTAACCGTCACCGGGTCGTGTAAGAAAATATGATGAAGCAATTAAGCCAAATGTATGCAAATAATTTCTCATTGTTTCAATCAATCTCTTTTCTTCATCTTATCTCTATCTCTCTTTCTTACTTTTTCTCTCACTTTTTCTTTCTTTCTTTCTCTCTCTCTCTCTTTCTTCCCTTTTCTCCAATCTCTTTTCCTTCTTTTTTCCTTCTTTCTTCCTCTTTTCTCTCCGCTTGATTTTTATCAACATTTAATTATATGTTTTTCTGTATCTCCGTAGTTTGTTTGTCTCTCGCTATCTCTCTCTCTCTCTCTCTTTCTCTCTCTCTCTCTTTCTCTCTCTCTCTCTTTCTCTCTCTCTCTCTCTCTCTATCCACAATTCAATCATCAAATCATCTCTCTTTCTCTCTCCCTACTCTCCTACTCTCTCTCTTTCATTCATTTCTCAGTGTAACCACTCGCTAATAAAATTCTCCTAAACCCACGCACCAGCCAAGCAGCGGTATTTTCATCCAATTACAATAACGTAATAACAAGAGCCAGTAAGTGAGTGAAAAATTTTGAATTTCAAACAATGCGTGCGTGCAAGCGAAGATCTGAAGACCAGACAGAGAGAGAGAGAGAGAGAGAGAGAGAGAGGGAGAGGGAGAGAGAGAGAGAGAGAGAGAGAAAGTGAGAGAGAAAGTGAGAAGAAAGAGAGAAAGAAGAAAGAAAGAGAAACCGACAATAGTAATAATAATTACCTTGCAATTTTACTGTTCTCATTATTGAAAAAAAAACTTTAAACTCTTATGTGATATTGTTGTAAGCTTTAAAGTTCGCTACTACCAACACCAATGTTATAATTGAAAAAAGATCTCTATATCTCTATATTCCAAAAACCAGTGTTGCAGCAACCAATGTTCGCATCAAACCTCGCTACTAAATTTGCTTATTGACTCTCACCACCCCTTATATACAAGAGTTTCTCTAAATCCGAAGATTACAAATATAGCAATGATAATAAATAATCAAGATAATAATAATTAATTAAAATTAATCATATGGAGCAGTTCAATCATTCTCGCGGTTATAATAACATTCATTGATAGACAAATTTGTGAAAACTTCCTCTCTTTCTTTCTCTTTCCCTCTCTCTTTTAATATATATATATATATATATATATATATATATATATAGTTTTTTCCTAATTTGTCGTATATTGTGCTCTTTAAAATCCGGGATCATCGCCAGACATACATATATACATAAATATAATCATACATACATACATATTATATACATATATGCATACATGCATACATACACAAACACAAACACATACAAACACACATAAATGTGTTATGTTTCTATGTATGCTTGAATAGATATAACACAAAACACTCTCTTATATATGTATGTATTTATGTATGTATGAATATATGTATGTCCCCATGTTTGTCTAAGTACACGCATACATGTATAAACATAGACAAGCATACTTTCATGTGTGTTGAGTGTCGTTGTTTGACATCGTATAACACAACATATGAATGTAGAATGATTGTTAAGCTGGTCTAGGTCTTTCGTAATGATATTCAGTATAGGTATTCATCTTTGTAACTAGAATAATAATAGTAGTAGTAATAATAATAATAATAGTTGTAATAATACAATTATCAAAATAATAACAAATATTAATAAATTGAAGGCTTGATAAGTGTTATTGTATAGTATATATATATATATATATAGATATATATATTTATATTGTGACAGTGCTCTATCGCTTGCTATTCACTTAATTTCTTATCAGGTAATTACAAGTGTTTTTGTATTTTTGTATTTGTTGTTTATTTGTTTGTATTTATTTGTTTGTATTTGTCTGTCTAATTGTAAACATTTTGTATTCGCAGTTTTCTGTATTTGCTTTTTCGTATGTAGGTGTATTTTCTGTGCGCGATTTTGTCTCGAGTTAAAATGCAGTTGAAAATTATTTAAACGTTAATTAGATCAATCAACATTTGAAAACTATTTTAAATAAAATGCGATACAAATAATAATTTTTTTAATGCTTACATTAACGACAGCTCTCTCAACCAGCCAGCCAGTCAGTCAGCCGACCAAGAATCCAACATGGGCAACGATCAAGGCAAACCAAATTTCAAAGAACTTTCGAAAGGTACTAAATTTAGCACTTTTTCTGATAAACATTTATTAAAAAGATTCTTTTTCTTAAACGAAGGCACCAAATTTAGTAGAATCATTTATAATAAAACATTCACAAATATAAGATTCCTTTTCTCAAAAAAGGTGCCAAATTTAGTCAAATCTTTCCTAATGAAACATTTATAAAAAAAAAGTTTCTTTTTCTCGAAAAAGGTACCAAATTTAGCACCAAGGAACTGAGTGATTGGCATAAAAAATTCAAAAAAGATTTCCCGGACGGCAAAATTAATAAGCAGCAGTTTATCACTCTCTACCAGAAGATGTTCGGAGATGATAAAGCAGCGTCTACTGAGTTTTGTGAGCATGTCTTTAAGAGGTTGGTGTGGTTCGGTGTGGTTTGGTATGGTGTGGTGTGGTATGGTGTGGTGTGTCTGTCTGGTGAAACAATGTTAGAAATGAACACGCTTCAGTTAGTTTTATGTTTCAAAATCGTCTCAATTTTTGTAGTGTGGTTTTAACGAATTTGAAAAATTTGTATTAAATGTTTTTTCATCGATTTCTTCTATTTGTTCATTCACTCACTCACTCACTCACTCACTCACTCACTCACTCACTCACTCACTCACTCACTCACTCACTCACTCACTCACTCACTCACTCACTCAATCACTCAATCACTCAATCACTCAATCACTAACTCACTCATTCACTCATTCATTCACTCACTCAATCACTCATTCACTCATTCATTCACTCACTCACTCACTCACTCACTCATTCATTCATTCATTCCTTCAATCAATCAGATATGACACAGATAATAACGGCGTGGTAGACTTTAAAGAGTTCATAACCACTCTGAGCGTTGCATCCAGAGGCACCAATGAAGAGAAGTTGATGTGGGCATTTAAGCTATACGACAAGGACAACAATGGGTACCTACTTGAAAGTGAAGTTGTCAACATTTTGACGGTTGGTTGGTTTGTTGGTTGGTTGGTTGGCTGGTTGGTTGGTTGGTTGGTTGGTTGGTTGGTTGGTTAATGGTTGGTTGGCTGGTTGGTTGGTTGGTTGGTCGGTTAATGGTTGGTTGGTTGGTTGGTTGGTAGGTTAGTTGGTTGAAAACGCCGAAATAACAATAACAACAATTATTATTAATAAAAATAAATAATAATAATAGTACTATATAACACTTATGTGTGAACACAGCTATATATATTAATATTAATATGTATTTGTATATTTATTATTTATTTATAGAGAGAGAGACACACACAGAGAGAGAGAGAGAGAGAGAGAGAGAGAGAGAGAGAGAGAGAGAGAGAGTGAAAGAGTGAGAGAAAAAAACAGACAGAGGAATAGTTTACATGAAGTTTTTCTGTACTTAAATCATCCCATTAGCAGTGTTTTAATGAGATAGTACTAGCGCTAAAATATAATTACAGGAGCGCGCGCACACACACACACAGGCCACATACACACGTAAATATATATATATATATTTATTTATATATTTATATTTATAATGTATATATATATATAACATTTATTTATATGCAAATTGAATTTGTATTTCAAATCACACGACTCTTCAATGTTTAAATGTTTAATACATTATCATCTCTCTCTCTCTCTCTCTCTCTCTTTTTCTCTCTCTCTCTCTCTCATTGTCTCAGTCTTTCTCTCTTCGTCTTTCTCTTTTCCCTCTCTAGTCAAATTTATTTATTTCTTTCTACATTTTATAGCAATCAATAAAAAAATTGAATTGAATTTTCTGAATACATTAGAAGAACATCGCAATCGCTCATGATATTAAGTCTTGCGAATTTTTTTTATCTGGTCTCTCTCTCTCTCTCTCTCTCTCTCTTTTTCTCATCTTATTCATTTTCTATAGATTTGATGGCAATGAAGAACATAAATTGAAATTTCGGAATAAATTAAATCATGCATTTGAGAACGCTCAGGATTTTTCTTACGAAATTTGTTTAATTTGTCTGTCTGTCTGTCTGCCTCTGTCTTTCTCTCTCTCTCTCTCTTCTCTCTTTCTCTCTTTCTTTAAAGTTCTATTGAAACGTTGTTGTGAATCGCTTAAATGTTTACCTGTAAGCATTAAGTTCTTCATGTGTTTCAAGCGATGAATACATAATGCTTCGTGTGGTTGTTTGTATCATGTAAAAGTATCTACTCGACAAACACACACATAAACACACACACACACACACAAATACATACTAACAAACATATATAGAAACACATATACACATATATCCACGCATACATACAGATAATGCCATCAATATGAGTTTTTTACTTTTAGAGGATTTTTTAAAACATTTCATTACCGTGCAAATATTTCGCGGTATAAAATGATGATACTCCATATTCCTTACTTTTTTTTATCTTGTCTTGTTATCTGTCGTTATCTCTTTCCATCATCGAAATCACTTTACATCATTGTCATCGTCATTCTCATCATCATTCGCCCAACATCATCACTATCTTCATCATCATTCTCCCAACACCATTCTCATTCTTCGGTCCCCCAACATCACCACCATCCTCATCATCACTCTCCCAACATCACCACCATTCCACTCATCACTCTTCCAGCATCAATCTATCTCCACGCCACCACACAATCATCACATCCTCATCATCACCATCAGGCCATATACAAAAGCCGCAATGTAGCCAACCCCAGCCAGAAAGCCAAAGACACAGCCAGGAGTATCCTGAATAAAGCAGATGATAACAGAGATAACAGACTATCGGAAGCCGAATTTATCATGCACGTTAAAGACTGTCCGGAAATCAAGGATATGCTACACGGATTTTAAGATGGGAGCGAATTTTTTGACAGAGTTTACAAATTGATAGAGTTTAGTTGGGATGAAAATTGGCACATTTAGAGTGTGCTAGAGTTTTGGGATTTTAAGGTTGTAATGGAAAAAAGTTGTGGATTGATAGGATGGGATAATAAAAATTGAGATACAATGATACGGAATGTTTTAAAAGCTTTGTTTTTTGTTACTTTTGAAATTTTAATTCAAGGATCAATCCTGTTTCCTGTTTTTTTAGAATTATGAACAAATGTTTCTTTTTTTTACATGTTTAAATAGAATATAACCAATTCGTAAATAAATTTTTGGGCAATTTATTTTAAATAGCTATTAATCAATTGAAAATAAAAAAAATCTAAAAAAATGAACCAATGAAACTAGAAAAAATTTGATTTAAATTAATATTGCGAGTGTATAATGTATTTCTCTGTGTGTGTATCCGTGTGTGTCTGTCTGTGTGTGTGTGTGTATGTATCTGTGTGTGCGAGTGTGATTAAATCTTGCATGATATTGGTTGCAATGATTTCCGGAAAAGAACCAAAAAATATGAATAAAATCAATCAAGAAGAACCAAAAAATGAGACTGAGAAAAATAAAATATGGTCAAAAATAACAACAATAATTGTTATCATTCAAAAAAATATCAACGTCATCAGCTGCTGCTGCTGCTGCCACAGTAGCGGCAATAACATCATCATCGTCATCATCTTCTTCTTTTTCATCGTCATCATCAACAACAACAGCAACAACATCATCAACAACAAAAACAAAGGTATGATCAGGTCTGCGAGTGTTTAAAAATAGAACGGCGTTTTCATGACTACGCAACAACAACAACATTTCTAGTTGTTGCTGAAGTAGTAGTAGAAGTAGTAGTAGTATTAGTAGTAGTAGTAGTAGTAGAAGCAGTAGCAGCAGTAGAAGCAGCAGTATTAGTAGTAGCAGCAGTAGTAGTAACAATGAAAACCTCTCACTATTTGGAATTCGGCATTAATGAATGTTCTCTTATGCAACAATAGCGTTATAAGTATGCCATTGTATCAAATGAATAACTATTAAAATAA